TATGATATGATGCCTTATGATGACTTCGCACCATTCTGTAACGTCCTGCTCCTTCTCCATCTTTGAATCCATCTGCGCAACGAACCCCGTCGCCGCACAAAGATCTTGAGCCGAGCAGTGGAGGTTATCCCATCAATAGATGGGCTGTAGCATGTTATAACTAGCTGTGGTTACTAACCAGTGACGATCCGTGGGGTGATACTCCAAGTTGTTGGTTGAATCAATTCTTCACAGGTGACATCCCTGTTCTCTGGTGAGTCAAATCCTCATTGTGTTGGTCACATCTTTCATCTTCTGCTGACTCATCTTCCCTAGTTTGGATGGTATATATATAAATCCTAAGTAAGTTTGGATGGTATATATAAATCCATATATATCCATATAAATCCTAAGTATTGCTGTACATCTCCACTTCTGATGCTCTTTGATGGTCATTTTTTGTCAGTTTTCATCCCAAAAAAAGACATCAGCCAGGCCATCGCCCACAACCGACCTGTCGAAGGTGAGTACCTGCTGTGGCAACCCATGGATTCCCATGGTTTATCTATGTAGTGGTTAATGTTTAAGTGATATTCTAACTATACATTATGACTTATTATGGTGTTATGTACATATATATATATAGTTATACATATATATATATACATATTATATCCTATAAATCTATAACCGTCTGTAAGCTACCAAACTGCCATGAAAATCTATGGCTTTCGTGTGAAATGATGTTTCATGGTGGATTGTCCACATATATACATATCTAGTCTACTGGAGGCTATCTTAAATATGTTATATGTTGTAAGTTATACCTATTGTATCCTATTGTCAATCATTTTACGTATGCATATGCTACTTGATGTTTATGATTCTATATAAAGCAGTCTGGATAGGTATATATACACAAGTTTTCACACTCTACGAATATGAAAAACCTCAGCAGATGTTTTTTGACTGAAAGTTCGGGAACCCTGAATTCGGCGCTTTGCTTTGCGTATTGTACAAGATATCAAATTTACCCTCTGGTAAACTAACATAACTATGGAAAATCAACATTTTTAATGGGAAAACTCACTATAAATGAACATTTTCCATAGCTATGTTAAATTACCAGAGGGTATTATTCTTGTTCTATCGGTTGTTTGCGTCCCTTGATCATATCCCCAACCTCTCTGTCCAAATATCTGGGATTTCGACCAAAATTTATTCTTCCAAAATATTTCATGGCACACTTATTGAAATTCAAGATATTCAAGGGGAGACCATTTTAGATGTTGCTGTTTTGCCCTTGACCTTGTTGACGTTGCCATCCTGGTTATGCTACGCCGTGAAAAGTTGGAGAAAAGACACCCACATATAGGGGCGTGGTCAATCCATTCAAATGGTGATGCAATAGGATATTCATGGGACTATGAGACATGGGACATACTCGAATCACCAACGATTAAGTCAAAAAATGGATTGCCATTCTAGTTGGTCATGAATCCTTATCAAACATCCATAAGCTCCTATCAATCCCTCTAAATCGCTATTATTCATGGATGATCTCCTGATATTCATCACCTTCTTTCCAGCTTGGACGAAAAAAAAAAGCGTAAAAAACCGACAGCCGCGGCGTCCCTGACGTCCCTGACCTCCTTCAGCACCTTGAAGCCTGGACGGAACATAACATTTCTAATGGTTGATGGAATAGATATGTATATATATACTTATATATACTTATATATATATTGGGAACATGTTAAAAATATAAAACCACCCATCAGTTGATGACTTGTGTGACTTGTGACTTGGGGCTCGTATTTTCGCTGGGGACCCCAGAGAGGTGGTATAGACGGTATAGATGATATGGAGACGATATCGACGGATGTGGCCAACAATGAATTTTGGAGAATACAGTATATATACAATATTATACAATATATATAGATAAAATTATATATATAGTTCATGTTTATCTTCCAATTCTAGAGCGTAAAATTTCGATTCAAAACATGGGGATGGGTTGGGGACAACCACTCCAGCAGTTTTATCGAACATGGCTTCCCCATTACAAAAGGATACCTGATGGTTGGTGAAAACATCATCCACAATCAATGTCCATCATTCTTAAGTGGCGGATTGATACCATCAATCCAATCTTTTTCCTAACATTGGTTGGATCATCCTGGTCTCGTTACCGATAGATATGTAAGATCGATATACATTATTTTTGTAGATGACTAAAGAAATGCATAAACAAATTTTCCGATGATTTTCCGAAAGAATCCCTAAGCATTTCCTCTGGTAATCCCTTAATTTTTACAACCCAACTGCTGCCGAAGGAGCTGTGCTTGGGAATTCCCAGGATTCGAAGGAGCTCCTGGCGGGTTTGGGATGTGAGTTTGGGACCTGAACATGGGTAGATCCCAATGAAATAAGCCATTTTAACTGTTAGAACTGGTTTTCATCATGGTTAGTTATGGTTACTAATGTCTATACAATTTATCAATTTGTGATGGTTTAATTCTGATTTCATGTATATCACCTGGTTGATTGTGGCCATGATCGGATAATGATGATAAAAACCATTGGATTTGGATGCACTGGGGGTAGCCTTTTCTAAAGCCTCTCTTACAGGAGAACATGATGATGGTGAATTCTCTGAGACTTCCAGCAGTCAGCTATATATAGTCAGCGAGAGCTCAAGAAGTGAACTCTAGACCGAAGCCTCGTGGCTTCAACCTATCCCCAAATTTCTTATCATGTTGGTTCTCAATCCCGCAAACAAATGGTATATATATATATATACACCTGATATACCCTTCAAGGAGAACGAACTTTGAAGCGTTCAAGAACGATCAGACTTCGTGGATTCAGCTGTTCCTTGTCCGGACCCCCCTCCTTGGGTGAAATTTCACCTTTTTCTTTGATGCCTCACTGCGGTGGTGCCACAAAAAGAGAAGAATGGGATGGTGGAACGCTGGGAGCTCATCCCACGAATGGTAGATAGGTTATATTCCCGGTTATATGTCATAAGTGGGATAAGTAGGGTTACTCCACTGCTGGGATTAAAACCCACTTGGGCAGGATGAACCACCATGCAAATCTGTTTTCGCGGTCCCCTAAGTCTTGAAATTCGTACGCAGAGAATGTCAGCACTGCCAAAATCTGTGCTCTTGACCATAATTTTGCATTGGCACATGAGGCTAGCTAGTGGACTGTCGGACATGGCTTGCCGTGATTAATCAGGATAACCATCTCAGCATTGTGCTGACCGTCAAAATCTGCATGACACCACCCTCTCTTGGGCATAGGTTGGAGCTTCTCAGGTTTTTGGGTCATATCCTTTGAACATTCTCCCATTACAATGTGATGCCCCCCAGTCATAAGTTGCTTTTTATCCCATTAAATAGAAATATCTCTACCATAAACATAGTTATACTAGTCAAACCAACTTAGCCAGGGTAATTCACCCAGAAATACACAGTTTAGACACAGTCACATCTCCATTTTCGTATGGGACAGCCAAACAGGATCATTTCTGCACCGGCTCCAAAGCTGGGCATTCCAAACACTTCACAGCACGTCTTTGCAGCTCCCAGTGATCCATGGATGGCCTCAACGGGCGGACGGGCGACCATGACTGATGCTAAGAATTTCCAGAAAACATCCGTGATTTTTGAGGGATGGTTTATGATTTTGAGGAAAAACCACGATGAGGAAATGAAGAGCTAAATCAAGAATTACCCTCCGGTAAACTAACGTAACTATGGAAAATCACAATTTTTAATGGGAAAATCCACTATCAATGGCCATTTTCAATAGCTACGTTAAATTACCAGAGGGTAAATGGAACGGTAATTAAATTGGAGTATAATTGATCTGCCGATGGATACATTAAAAATACAGGGATTTCACGGGCAAAAAAAAAACCAGCTCCTCTCGACATTTTTTTTGCCTCCAGGAAGCTTTATAGGTTGGACATTTCACGAAACTCTTAGGATCTCTTATACCCACATTATATATCGGGTACACATATAATGATATATAGTATATAGTATATGTGTAGTATATATCTCTTATATACTGTATATAGTAGACATATAATGATAAAGCACCATTAATTAGTAAACACATCTAAAAACATCCTGGAAGTAGTGCCAGGTCCTCTCTAAAAACGCACCTGTCCACCAGCGCTGGCAGTGACATCTCCTCCTGGGTCGACCAGCAGAGAGTGGGAAACAACACGGGTCACTTTTTCTGGAATACAGTATCATATATGATACTGAATATATATATATATATAATATATATATATATAATATATATATAATATATATAATATATATATATATATATAAATTATATATATACACACGTAATACTAGTTGATGAAGCTCCAAATCTAGATTGGTTGCGACCAGCATTAGCTGTATAATCACAATGAGTTACAACAGATGGGTGTTTACAAAGACGGAGGAACAAATACAGCGTTGGTCACTTGCACGTCTCATTCCAAATATGGACACAGTTAACGATGGACTACCAGCCTTGCCAGCTATCAACTATACACATGCAACAGCGTGGTGAAACAGGGTGTAAACTGTCTAGCTCCGGCATGCTGTATCTACCTTGCCAGACTGGGTGATCCTGGATCTTTTCCAGTTTTCTTTTCATCACGGGCTTAATGTTGCTATATGTTTGGTATTTTTTGGATATGTGTAAGCGTAAATTCATAGATCTAGCATGGTGTATGTGTATTTATATATATATATATATCATATCAATTCATATGATGTATAAAAATATATATATATATACACACGTATTACAGTTCATGTCTTTTTCAATCATATAGTTAATGATATATTAGTTTATATATATATATATTAAATACATGCATATGTATATATATATAATATCTCATAGAATTATGATTCAGCGCAGGCACAGAGTCTCACCCTTTTTTTCCGCGCCCTTCGTTGCGGGTGGAAGGGTCAGTGTAGATATGCACCTGTCAGAGGCAGGGAGCGAACCTCACCATAGCGGCCATCAGAAGGCCGGGCGTATGCCCAGAATGTCCACAGGGGTTAAAATCCCATAGGAAAATGGTGATTTAATGAGGGTTTATGGTGGTTTAATGGGATCTAATGGGATTTACCCTCTGGTAAACTGTCATAGCTATGGAAAGATCCACCATTTTTCATGGGAAAAATCCACTATTTCTATGGTCATTTTCAATAGCTATTTTGACATAACCAGAGGGTATCCCTAGGATAAATAGGGTTGATAAGTTGATCCACGGATGAAGCAGCAAATATGGGTCGATGATGATTCTTAATCCAGGCTGGCAGAAAATGCAGTAAGACAATGTAAGACAACAGCATGGTACTTCTCCAATGCTCAGCAACGACAGGGTGGAAGACATCACGGGCCATTTCTCAGCAGGCTGTGGTAGATGGACTCTGAGAATGGCCCATTTCCCCTCTCTGGCAGGGTCTGTGTTAGTTGGGGGATGGTAAGATTTCACCGCAGATTGGCAGCTGCACCTGCCACAGCCAGCAAGCTGACAGAAAGGCTCGACCTGACCGATGGGTCGTTTGAAGCAGCTGAGCAGTGGTGATTCACTAATCACTACCTGTACTTGCGGAAAACTGCAAGTGGATCGTCACAGTATGCAAGACATATTATAGATATGTCACATACCCTCCAGTGAACTACCTCTGACATGGAAATAGAGAGCCCCTCACAGCAGCAATTTTTCAGGCTCCCATGAGCTGAGGATTTCTGTACTTCTTGCTATTGTGAACGTGAAACGCCACACTAAGTGAAATCTATTGACTAGCCATGACTAGACTGCCATTAAGGAATTCGGGTGGCAGAAACCTACTGCAAACTGATACAGTAGTGGCAAACCTCCAAAACTTTGCTTCATTTCCCAGATCACCAACAAGACGGAAGGCAGTCATTATCCAACTTTGCATCGAAAGGGGAATCCCTGCCTAAAGCCCAAACTAATTCTTAATGTATCAGAAAGGGGACAGATTAGTCATCCATCAGCAAAAACAAGCACCGCCTCTCTCTCTCTCTCTCTCTCTGGAAAACTGAGGATAAGGCGGCGTTACCAATACTGTATCCAATGAGAATGGTGTCTGGAAAATCGGAGTACCCCGAAACCTTTCTTTTTCCCAGTGCAAATGACCAAATTGTGGATGATTCTGGGGTCCCCCATAATAATTATATAATAGGAATCCCCATTTGGGGGATCTTTACACATTATCAACCAAACTGCAGGTTGCTATCTTGTTAACCATCCACTCATCCGTAATCTGTTTAGACATTCCTTTAAGATCATGATAGACCTTCGATCTCCCGCGAAACGCCAGGGAGCTCAACAGTCACGGGGGATCCCCCCAATAGCTAGTTGGTTATGTCTCGAAAATCCGAAACTAAAATGGATGACTTAGGGGTACCCCCATAATATGGAAACCTCCACATATTACAATATATATGTGTGTATATATATATATTGTATATATATAATATACTGTACATATTAATGATTCTTCATAATGTTACTTCTCCTTTTCTGGCAACAATCGACCTATTCACCCACCATTCACCCGTGTTCAGGCTGACACCTCAAAGTATTGCTCTTCTCATTTTTATCCTTGCCAGACTCTCCGGGTGCAGCGAAATGGCTTCGTGCAGCGAACCTCATCAGCTCCATTTGGGATGGAACGTCGAACAAGTTTCTAGTAAGACCAGCTACAAAATAAGCCACACAATACCACAAAATGGTACTGTTGTTCGGATTTTTTTTTGCATATGTTTTTCTCAACTGCATCGATTTACACATTTTTTAAGAGCAATTTAAGCCACTGATAGTCGTTGGCTTAATCCTCTGAGATGGGGCAAAGTCTCCTTTTTTTTGCAGATGAGAAACCCATCGAAAGCTCATAGAAATTTGGCAAAAAAACAACAAAACCATCCAAATCCAAAGTCAACATAGTACCCATAGGATCCATGTATGGTATATATGCCAACATAAAGGGGGTATATTGATGGGATCCATGTTACCATATATAGCATACATGGATCCTATAGGGTAACATAGTCAATATATATATATATGTCTCAACATTCAAAGCCTGCAGGAAAGACACCGCCCTTGGTGCTGACTCTGCGCTTGCATAACAGAGGCCACCCTCTGTGTGCCGATGAAGGCTGGATACAGTCGCTGGGCCTCATGCCTGGGCACAGAGCTTCGTTGGATAAAAAATGGCCAGTTTACGGGCCCACAGTGTTTCACCTTTCCACTGATCCTCCCAGGCAAGGGTTCCTTTCTCATTGCACCCAAGGGTCAATGCATCCATGGGAGTAACCATCGACATCCTGCCAAGTTCAGGGTTGCTCCCTGTCCATTAACCTCCTAAGATGGTTCTCATTCTAACCCACAGAAAGTTGGAGCAACCGGCTTAGTAGACCCTGGTTGCTAAGCTGCTTCATTTGGTTTGATAGACTGGGGGGAGGTCTAGTGAATCGGCCAAGGGCTCTTTAAAACGCAGATTTGGCTGGATACGACGATATCTCTTTGATCACATCCACATATATTCAATGCTTTGGACATATAGGGACACCGCATAAACTTTACATGGAAACTTGAAGAAACAGCTTCACTGGCATAAACATGGATGTTTTAATGTCGGTTTTATTCCCGAGCAAAAGCCATCCCCTCTATCAATTGTCCGAGTAGTATCCACTCTTCAAGATTATCACGCAGCATCCATAATCAGTAAGAAATGGTACCGGTATAACATGGTGAAAATATGTAAAAAATATTACATATTCCGGTGCACAACCCACCAAAGTATCGAACACTCCAAAAATGGAGCCCTGAAAACTCCATTTCAGGGGATGAACACATGGGAGGAGTGGAAGTGTCTGCAATTTCTAGATGGTTTCTCCTCCTTGCGGAAAACAGGAGGGATTCCAGAAGGGTATGGGTAAAACCAAAGATCCTGCAGATCGGCAATGGACTGATCCTTTTTGTGTGTTCAACTCTATTTTTTTCTAAGGATGGAATGCTTCCACTGTTTTAAGGTGGTTGTTAGACACACGGAATATGCCTATAGCATCCTATAGCCTATAGACAATATAGACCACAATTTGGAAATTTGGACCTGTATGATTCTGTTTTATCACATGTCATCGCTGTGATATCCTGAGCATTTTTGGATAGTTACCCCTCCCCATCTCCAGACCCATATCATACCGACCGAATTCAAAAGCTCAAACGACAATGAAATTCTTGGTCACCATGATATTCCCAATATATGGGAGATCTTCAGGATCCTAAAATGGAGGTACGGGTACTGTACCATATATAAGGCCCTATCAATATGGTAGGTACCTCCAATCAATCGGATCCTGAGTCATGGCCACTGAATATACATCTCATGTGTTTTTAAGTCTATCCCAGTGCCACGTTTGTGAACTCCCCTATGATAAATCGCTTACCTCCCCTTGGAATCGATGGAATTTTCCCAGTTGTTTCATGCTTAAATCCAATCATCGCTGGTGAATTTCGTGTTCCATCCAAAAATGTCACAACCATCCTGAAACATCCACAAAAATATCAGGTTTTTCTGACTTCCCCATTAAATATCATGAAAATCCTTGATGAACTCCCCTAACTCCCCTAATAAAAACCATTGGTTGATAACCCCATCGCCTGGCCAAGTACTCATCGACCTCCTTGGCAGAACTCGCTGACTTCACCTCAGCCGCGCGGAAGCGAGCCGCGCTCAAGCGATGGGAACGATGGGAACCACAGTTCCAAAAATTTCAGGCATTCACGGCTATGTATACATAATAGTATGTATATATATATACTACATAATATTACAGACATGCCATAGAGATCCATAGAGTAAGTGTATACTACGTAGATGTATCTATATGTATCGTTGTATATACAGATCTACAATGTGTACATTATGTGTATATATATACATATACAATATGCTTTGTACACCTTAGTTTGAAATGTCCGACATGGGTTTGATACGGTTCGGTCCTAGAGTCTCCTGTGGAATCGCTGACTTGCCCAATCAAATCCTTTGGTATTACTGACGTATTCCACAACATTTGTCATCCTAAAAATATGATAAAATGTGATAAAGGTATGAAACATTATAAATAACGGGATGACAGTAAAAGGAATTAAACCATCTACCAACTGGTGCAGGATTTCTTCCATCCACAGAATTGCAGCACAATGATTCAGGTGTTACTAGGTGTTACTGTTCGTGAGGCGGCCATTGGGGGGTCTGGGCTAACTGGGCTAACAAGCTTCATCTGTCACCTTTTGGCATCTATCATTTGAAATGATATACCCTCTGGTTATTTAACATAGCCATGGAAAATAACAATTTTGAATAGGTAAACCATCTATAAATGGGCCATTTTCCATGGCTATGTTAAATAACCAGAGGGTAATTTGTTACATAGCTATTGAAAATGGCCATTGAAATAGTTAGCCTTCCCATTAAACATGGTGGATCTTTCCATAGTTATGTAAACGTTTACCAGAGGGTACAAAGCCAATCACAATTTGTAGTTCTGGGCCAAATCGAACATTCGATGACTTTTCCATGGATTCTTCTGCGCCAGCAGGCCGTATCCGTAGCTTTGGATATGTCCCATTTTGATCCATTTTGACCCGTACCACCAGCACAACCGGCCGACGACCAACCAACAATTGCAGGTATCTAGCAAGCGGCCATCCGCTTGTAGTTCGCCTCAAACATGGCAGCTACATGGATGGTTTTGGTGAATTGACGGGGCTATTGGAGAACCGACACCTTTGATCTGCATTTGGGCGGATTGGACTTGTCGAAAGCACAGACATATCCTCACATACCCTCCCAGTACAGCCTTCTACCCCTTCCCGACAGGACTGTATCACAAGCTTCCTCATGTTCCTTGGTAATTTTCTGGGCACCACGACACTAACCATGGACCCCAAGTGGAGACAATACAGGATCTCCGAGTAGGTTCCACTCTCAAAGCTGGAACATCATCCTCCAAACCTGTTTCTTCGTCGTTGGGGGATTTCCCTGGGGTTCCATGTGAGAAACTCTCTTACCCACCGGCCCAATGGCCACCATTTAGGCTCATTCAGACATCATGTATGCTGGTTACAAGGCTATTTTGCTAGAACAAACCACAATGGCTAGTCAAAACCTCCAGCATTTCTTACTTAAGCCATCTTAAGCCCCAATTTGGGCTCATTTAGAACATTTTAGGACCATGTACAATGTTTTTCACCCATGTTTCCTGGTCAGATCACCATTCAACGTAACCAAGGCGCCACCATGTAGTTGTGCAAATCCACCGATCCGTTGCTCAGGGCGAAGCTGCGCGCCGTGTAGATGGCACTCTGCTGCTGTAGCATCGAGACTTCGCGATTGATGCCTGGGGCCGAAGGGGAGATGGGTTGGTTGAAAACGGGGTACCCTCCGGTGTCATCAAACGTGGCAATGGGAAATCCACTAGCAATGGAGATTCTATATAGTGGGGAAATCATTGATGTTTTTTATTTATAGTGGATTTTCCATTGCCACGTTTGATAACTGAGGGTACCTCTAAAAAACTTTGGTGGTTCTGACCGTCTTTGTCCCAATTACAAGTATACATATGGGTACGGTATGCCCCATTTTCAGACCCATATCAGCTAGATGAAGCTATGACATGTGCATATTTAGCATCATCATCAGAGAGTTATCGATTCTACAACTTGGAGCATCTTGGAGCAACATCCAACTCAGCTGGTTTCTGAGGTTCTACCGCAGTTCTCATGGGACAAGCTACCAACAGTTGGGATTTACCAGGCAGAAATTCGATGATCCAAATCTCATCTCCACCCGACCCTGCGGCACCTCGGACGTGTGTGCTGGCTTGCGCCTCCATTTTTGAGACCACCTGGCTGTAGTAGTCCAGAAGCTGTGACCATTTGTAGAAGTCTTCACAGGCTTTTCCTGGCGAAGGGTGTTTCGCATGATGTTTCGGGAGTGGGAGTCTGGAGGAAGTAGAACTGCACTAACGGTACTCCAATAGAAACATGACAAATGTCCACAGAAAGTGACTTGGGCCTCAGCAAACAAGGGAAAGCGAAGACTGTGCAGATGAGTATCCTCCGGTGATGAAAACTGGACAATTTTCCCTCGGAGATGGTTTTAACATGTTTTAACCCATTGAAAAAGAGATGAAAAGAATTGAAAATAGTGATTTTCCATTGCCAGGTCAACCTAAAACTTAAAGATAGGGCATATGCCACTGTTGTAGCCAATTGATCCCAGTTTAAGACACTCTAAATCCTCTGAAGATCTCTGAAGTACCCCATGCTCAGCAGGGGAATCTGCAAAAAAAAAACACAGAACCCTTGCCAGGATGCTTGAGTGCAGCAACAAACTTGGACAGTTTCAACAGCATTCCCATATCATACCCAGGTGCTCCCGGTCACATCTGCCTAGCCATTTATACAATGTGTGTCAGTACCTGGATCTACGTCACCCATCCCAACCCGGCCTGGCTCGCCCTGGCTGCCGGCATGGCCCTTGAGGCCCACCTTGCCCGTCTTGCCCATCTTCCCCTGCTGCCCTGGCCTGCCCTGACTGCCCGTGGGACCTATCACCGAGGCGCCGGCAGGGCCCATGGGGCCCTGCAGCCCCTGAGGCCCTGCGGGTCCACGTTCCCCCATATCACCTGCTGGACCATACATGCCACTGACGATCAGCGCAGGGCGACCTGCGGCACCCTCCAATAGGGTGGCGTTCTGGGCGTTCTGAGGATCTTCCAGGGGGGGATCTTCATGGATCATCTCAGTGCCTTCACCATGTTCATCTGCAAAGACCTTGGCGGAGGCATTCCGAAGCCCAGATGAGAGGCTGGAGGCAGCCTCCTCTGCTTCTGCTTCCATCTCAACCTCCTGCGCTTGGCTGTTTCGACACAAACATATGAGGAGGTAGGGGTTCCATCCCCAGATTGGATGGGTCAACTGTCTGTCTTGGCGCTAAATGCAATGGCCTGGGCCATGGGTCAAAATCTTGGCTACCAATAGAGCCATAAAATAGCATTAGACCATATTCCACCATCCATTTTGAGGGGTTGATGATGGATGGCTGGAACAAATCAGGATCCGGCTTGGCTGGTTGGTAAACAATGTAACAAGTGTCCCGTTAACCATGGGTGACTTCATAATCCCGTATAAACATTACAGTACAAAATCAACTACAGAATACTGTATATATATACACACACATGTATGTATGGATACCCCCATATTATCTTGGGGGCCCACAGGACATAAATCATAAATCTTCATCTTTTTTTTCACTGCTGCAGTCCTGTGGATCCTCCATGTCCTCTACTAAGCCACTGGGTTCACTGGGTTCACTGGGTTCGCGCCGCAGCAGGGACAGCATGCCTGCGCTGAAGCTGAACGAGGACCGGCGGACTGAGATGTTTTCCAATGCCCTGTGGACTCTGGACTGGAAGATTTTGAACTATATACTGTGTATGTGTATATATATATTTGCGCACGCCATATGCGTATCATATGTGTATCCTGTGTGTATGTATGTACGTGTATCCTATGTGTATATGTGTATATAGTGGAGCAGAGTCTTGTGGGAGGATGATTGGATAATTCCTTTGTAGAGAGAAGTTGTGACAGGAGGGATATCGCTGAAATGAGTCTTGTGACCCAGGAGAAAACACACATGATATCCGAGCAGCTGCTGTCCTTTCAGACTTACATTGCTGAAAGATGCTGAAAGCAAGACGACACTTTGCAGGAATCACAGATGGCACACTACATGGAGGGTTGAAACTCAATCCTTGGTTGCAAATCATTTTATCATTTCATGTATTGATCACTTGAGGGGTGTCGGAAAAAACATATATATATATACATATATATATAATATAATATACTATAATATATATATAATATAATATAACATATATATATACAATATATATAATATATTACATATATATATATATATGTAAACATACATTTTTGGGTCAGACACCGAAACCATTTACCTGTCAATCCACTTGGATGAACCCACAAATGACGCTTTGTCGACGAGACCAACAGCCCATTGGTCATATTCCCTGGCTTTCTCCAGCTGACCAGCCAAACGGTAAACATAAAGGTGATGCGTATAAAAAACCATGTCCAAGCAACTCTAAATCCCAAATTTCTGCTCATCTCATTTTTGTGGTTTGTATTTAAGTATACATATACTGTACATTTTTTCACACAACATCTACACACACGTGACATACATATGTTGATAGTTGATGCTTTAACCCATCCGTTTAACAAGCCAAAACAAGTCATCTCAAAACCAACATCCCAACTATGCTTGAAACAACGACATATTTGAACCCAAGCAGTATGTATATTATATCTGGGTAAGTTATCGTAATGCACAAACCTGAAATAGAGCTATATCAATTTGTATTGTGATAGTTTCCCCAGTCCTAACTATCATTTAATAACAACAACAATACTAATAACATATAATGATGATGACAATTATTGATAATCATTGATCATTGATACTAAATAAAAACAATAAGCAATACACGTTCATACTAATCATTATATATATATATTATATCTAATGAGTAAATATTTCTTATGTCCCCATGACCACCAAGGATCGCCTTCAGGATGGCCCGAAACGACGTTTGTTACGCTGGCCACCTCCACTGTGGCCACTGTGGCTGTGACGGCCTGGCATAGTTTCTGGTTGGTGGTTGACTTACCCCTCTGAAAAATGATGGAGTTCGTCAATGGGAAGGATGACACTTTCACTTTCATGTTGCTGCACGAGATTGTGCTTGGTCCTTGCCAGCATGCAGTGACACCAAAGTGCGTGACCCTACCCGTGGTAGTCGGGCTGTACAATGCCTTCAGGCATAAAATCGGCCACCGCAAATTTGGAAAAGTCCTCCGGTAGCATGGGAGATGTGTCCATTCCATCAAACGTGCTACGGACAAATGAATTAATGGCTCTTGCCAGGGCATGATTTAGCCCTGGGGGATAAATCTTCGCCCTAGCCGTTCTAAACTCTCCTCCTTCGTCTCGGCCTGCCATGCGTTCATGAGCACAGGGTCCATGCGAACAGCGACCTCCATGTCCTCCCTCCAAAGCAATCTGCCTGAACTTCGGGAGTCGCACGTGGAGAATGGTGGTGGGTTTGACTGCCACGCTGCCCAGGGTGCACTGGTCGAAGGACGTGATGCCCACGCATTCCAAGGTCCGCAGGAGCCTAACCTCTCTGCTACTCCAGATGCTTGAAGGATCTTTCCGAGCTGCCCATAAAGGGAACTGCGGATGTTCCAAGAAACCAGCGCCTCCATGCATTGCAAGGTGCACGAGCGCCTCAAGCAAGAACCTGATGAGTCTCGACCCTACGATGCATTGTTGCCACTGCTTGTGCTTCAGGTGTGGAAAACCTAAAGGCCAAGTTCCAGAGCGCAATGGCGGTGGGCCGCCTTCCAGGAGCCGAGCGGCGGTAAAAGTTTCACACGGGGGGCCGCCTCCCATCCCGCAGATTTGGCCTATGGCTATTTGATGCATCCAAAACTGGAAAGCTTTCGATGATGCCAAATTGCCTTCAATCTTTTGAAGGCACATGTCAATGGAAATCACAAAAAAATGTGTATGTTCCCAGACCTGGTGTTCCAGCATTTGATGCAAATCCCCATGTCTTCTATAGCCGGAGAAGACATGCACAAACACCAGCGTCTTGATGTGCAATCTGGCGTACTCACTGGCTAGGCTTCTGGCTGCGTACCGTCCCCCACCATTGTTGGGTCCGGCGGCTGATTGAAACACAAAGGCTGGCAAATCGGCCTCAAATAGAATAACCTGTGGTGTCTCTGGAGGAGCATCGGTACGCCTCCCTTGCAGGTTCTCATACGCAGTCCCCACACGGGGCTGCCTGGCTGTCCATCTTTGCTTCATTTGGGATGCATCTTGCGAGTCAGCTGGCGGGAGCAAAGGCCCCTGTAGCCTGGACACGGGCTCCAGGGCCTTGGTTGCCCACCACCCTTGCTGTCGCATGTTGAGGGTGTGCGCATGGTCAAGTTGATCCAATTCTTGAACCGTAGCATCATCCAGGGCGGGAAAGCATGCCTGTAGAACGGAAAGGCAGGACGGCACAAACTTCAGGTGCTCAACCAGTCGTTGCCTGGAATGATATTTCTTACCGCACGCATTGCAAAGATCATCGACTGCATAAAACTTGACAATTCGTCTATAACCGTGGACTCGGCCAGAGTGGGTGGCCAATGCCTTTTTACTGGCGAATGTCTTGGGGCATTGGTCACATGCCCAGGTTTCATGCTGTAGAGACTCACTCTGTGGCAAAATGCCTCCTCCGGCCAGGAAGGCGCGGTCAAATCGTTTCTGCCATAGGTGATGTTCGGCAACAGCTTGGCGGAACCGCTTGCACGCCCTGGTAGCGGCTCGCACCCTGCCCTTCCACCTGGTATCCATGGCAACATAAGGAATCCAGTCAAGGACGGATTCACTCTCGCTGGGCCCAAAGGGCCGGTGGTAGAACTGTCTAAACCATGCAAAGGATCCGCTGCATGCGGCTAACCATGATGTCTGAGCGTCTTTGGCGGCTACCAGGCAAGTCCAGAGTGCTGTTGGACAATACTGCAGCAGTCTACGGAAGTAGCGTAGTCGTGCCACATGAACTTGATCACAAGGCGCCAAAATGTCAGCGATGCCAAATAAGTCCAAGGTGTCAACATGTGTGGGCGGGGTGCCCATGAGCATGTGCTTCACCATGAGACCCATGGGTTTGCGCATGTGGTTTTGCCATTTTGCCCAATCTGCCGCACTTGCGGCGCACCATGTGTGCACATTGTACGTAAGTCTGGAAATGGACAAGGCTTGGAACGCTTTACCTTTGGTGGCCATCGAGACATACGGTTTGCTATACATTGGTTTGGCCAGAGAACCCCAAGCAGATTTGGCCAAGGAGGCACGTGCATAGATGTCTCTCGCACACCGTGGTGGGGCTTGCATCCACGTGCCAAGGTGCCGGTATGACTGCGTGACACTGAGCCGGAATTCCTGGTTAAGTCCATGCCAGTGAAGGAAGCCTCCTTGTGCTGCAATATTCTGCTTTGTGCGAGTGGAACCTTTGCCGGCTATGGCCCACAAAACTTCTGTCTTGCCCTTGTCAAAGTTCAGCGTCATTCCCCTCCTGCTGGTGGCGTGGTGCATGGCCATGGCTGCGTGCTGGATCAAGTGAACCAGTTCGTCTAGCGTCGGTGCATGAAGGGCCAGAGCAGCATCATCGACATACGCCAAGTCAAGGAATCCAGTCGGCGGCATTTCACATGCGTCTGAAAAGGATGATGTGTGGAGCGGGGACCCCATCCACTGGCAATGGGTGTGCTGAATAAACCACTTCCGGCAGTCTTCCATCACAAGCCGCATGATCATGTTGAAAAGCAAATCACCTAGGGGGTCACCAGGCCGTGTCCCTCTGGTGGTGCAGCATAAATGCGACAGGTGGTTGACCTGGAAGTATGTGTGGCTCATTGTATCTCTGACAAGGTGTTGCAGATGCGGGGAAGCCCCTTCTGTTGCATTGTCGTCTCCGGTGGCCGCTAACCAGGTCCGGATTTCATCCTGGCTGACACCTAATCGACGCAGGGCGTGGATAAGGGCAGTGGGGTCTTGCGGGAGGTGCACAAGGGATTGCCTCAAGACAGAGTAAAAGGCAGACCTCATGTCGAAAAACACCACGGCTGTGGGGGTGCGGTGCACATGACAGGCTGCTTGGTGTGCTTCGAGTAGATGGTGCGCGAGGTCGGTGCCCAACCCCTTGCGACTTCCCAATTGCAGGGCTGAAATCTTGGCCTCCCACACCGCTTCGAGCTGTGTCCGTATGGCTCTGTGGTATAGTTTGCCCGTGTAATTTGAGATAAATATTGAACGGTAAGACAACGGGTTATCCGGGGGGCCCTTGCCCTTGTGGAGCGGCACAAGGCGCCCACCACGCCATGCAAATGGCTCAGTAGCATGGCTGGCGGCCTTCGTCGTAAGCAATGCAAATTGTTTGGCAAAAACCGGGCCAGCGGCTTTGAGGATGGATGGTGTGAGGCGGTTGGGGCCTGGGGTCTTACCTCGCTTCAGCTTGGAAACAGAAGCTTGGATCTGCCATGCAGTTGGGAAGCAAGCTGTCTGTTGTGTATCAGTCGGCATGGGCCCGTGTGTCGAGACCTCCCGGACCTGGTCAGGGCTCACCATCACGCCAGCTTCAATTGCAGAAAACTGTTCAAGCCACATATGTTGCTGTTCCGTGAAGCTTTGCGCTGGGGTGCCATCTGGCTTTTTCAACATGGGGATCGGTCTGTTAGGAGTGGCACGTTTATGGCGTT